TAATTAAAAATAAAATCAATTTTTTATATCCATAAAACAACTTTCAAAATGAATAGTTTTAAATTCAATATAGAATTCTAAATTATAAATTTAAGTTATTTCTTTGAAATTTTGTTGAGTAAACTTTCTGTATTTTCATTTATACATCTTAATATCAACGATTTAAACTATATATTGAAATTAATCAACTAAAAGTATTTTCTTTGATTACTAATTATGGTCTCTTACAAGAATGATTTAAAATATATTAATCTCCATTTACACTATTTGGCTTGAAAAATATAAAGGTCTTACTGTATTAAGTATTCTTTTTAATAAAATTAAATCGTATAAGTGATTGTTTTATAAAACTGCTCTTGTGCTGTATACATTTTAGTGTGAAAAATTATTAACATCATTTTTTTCCTTACTCCTAAATAAAAAACTTTTTCCATTCTTTTTATTATTAATTAAGAAACTCTCTTAAAAATTAGATAGAATTCATTAATTTATAATTTATTTATTTATAAATAATTATGCAATAAATTTATGAATATATTTTATATATTGATTAAGACTTTATTATTTGTATATACTAAATGGAAAGGTTCAATCATATTTTTATATTCTCTATTAATGAATTAATATAATTAAGCTTAATCTTAGAAAAATTGTAATTAATAACTGATATGGTTTATAATAACATTAATTTCTATAGAATCCTGACTGTATTTCTTTCTTTTGAAGATTAATATATATAATCTTGTTTTAAAAGGTTTGTATCTTAAATTGGCAAGTTTAAGCTTCTATGGCATTTTAAAATTTGTTGGTTCAATTGAAATCGCTTGATATTTTCTAATTTTAATCTTTAATCAAATATTATATTGAATATTATCTTCTTGTTATGCAGAGTTTTTCAGAGATTGTGATTCATTAATTATCATTCTTATAATGAGTTTACTCAATATAACTAGATAAAGTATTTTTTGGAATCTCTAAAAATAATAAAAGTAAAAGCTGTTCTTTCTAACTAATTTATCCAAATCTAAGTGATTTTTTTGAGAACTTTTTTGATATAAAATAAAATATATGATTATTATAGGCAATTACCTATGAGCAGACATAAAATTGATATAATTCCATTAGGAGATGGAAAAATAAGATGTCCATTATTTATTCCTGTATATTTTTTCCAATAATTTTGATAGTAATTTAATTTTAATTCTATTTTAATTTATTATTAAGAATTCTAATGATTAAAAGCACTAATTTTTTAGGCTTTTTTTTCTGCCGAAATTTAAATGAAATTCGCAATGATTTATATATAGTTACTAGAGGGACGAGAAAAAAATGATCCATGGAATGGAGTACTTAGAATTTTGAATAAAAATATAATAATGCAGTTGTTAATAATTTCATTTTTTCCAATTATGTTATGTTGAGTCTTTCTATATTCTCAAAGAATCAAGGTATGTAAAAGTTTTTGGTTTCTCAATATCTAATTTTATGTGAATTAATTATGATCAACTCATATTTTTTATAAAAGCATGTACTAAGATAAATAAGATCCTTAATATTCAAGATATAAGACAGAAAAAAAATTATGAAAATTATATATTAAATAAAGAAAGAAAATGAATTGCACTTAGCATATACAAAATCCAATAACATATTTCTGTATAGCTCCTCATAATTGTTAATGCTAAAGGAAATTGTGCATTGATTGCCTATATGAACATAAAGTGGATATTAAATATACACTTTCATCTAATAGATTTCGAGAAAAGGTAACAATAAATTATATGAATATGAGCTTGATCAGACATGCGAACTAACAGAATAGAGAATGAATTTTAAATCCTTGCTCACTTAAATTGAAAGTCTGTTAGAGAAAATTTTGGAAGAGTTATCTGAAACAATCAAATAAATTTAAAATATGCTTAAGATGCAAAATAAATCACATCTGAATATCATTAATGAGAATACTAATCTAGCTGAACTGTAATCCAGTGATTTAGAGAGATTAGTCCAAATTGTATAAGAAACAACTTTAGATGATTGGAATACTTAGAAGAATTCTTATTTGTATAAATTGGAGAAGGCAAAGAATTGGTGGGGTTAAGAAATTAAGGGTTTTAATGAAAAGATAATTCAAGAAGTGAAAGAGATTTTGTCTTTAGAAACTGAATCATTATTTAAGTTACAACCAAGTTAAGATGAAGAATAAGTTTATGAATGGAAAGAAGATTTGTATGACCTTTTAATTAATTTAAAAGATATTGATGTGAATATATTGAATTTGATACTTGAGATGTTTAGGAAAGAAAAAATTTAAGATAGTCTAGAATTTCAATCAAATCATGTAATTCAAAAGCTCTTTAGATTATAAATTTTAAATTCAAGTATGATGAATGTCGAAAAAAATAACATTAAATATATAGCTAATGTTATCAAAAATATTTATGCACTTGATTTTAATAAATAGAATTATTCAACAGAAATCTTTCAAATAGCTAGAAAAAATCTGATTTAAAAGATTTCAAAAGATAAGAAGATCATCGAATTATTGAAATTTCTAGTTCATCTCTCAGCAATAAATGAACAATTTATTTAATGTGGATCAAACGCATTAAACTTATTAGTTGAAATGAAGGTAGATCTTACAAACTAAAGCTTTGAAAATATTAGGATTTAAAATACATCATTAATTGGGGCTAACTTTTTCAAATGTAATTTGAGTGGAACTGTATTTAACAATGTAGACATTAGCGGAATGAATTTGAATTGTGCCTAATTATTTAATTGTAAATGGACAAATATAAAAATCCATGAGTTAAATAAATTAGATGGTCATGATGGAGCCGTCTCTTCAGTATGCTTCTCTCCTGATGGTACTACTTTAGCATCTGGTAGTTGGGATAACTCTATTTTTATTTGGGATGTTAAGACTGGATAAAAGAAATCCTAATTGGAAGGCCATAGTAATTTTATCCAGTCGGTATGCTTTTCTCCAGATGGTACTAAGTTAGCATCTGGTAGTTGGGATAAATCGATTCGTATATGGGATGTTAAGACTGGATAACAGAAATTCAAATTGGAAGGTCATAGTACTTATGTCTAATCAGTATGCTTTTCTCCGAATGGTAACACATTAGCATCTGGTAGTTGGGATAAATCTATTCGTATTTGGGATGTAAAGACTGGATAATAAACAGCAAGATTAGATGGTCATAATAATCCTATCCTATCAGTATGCTTCTCTCCTAGTGGTATGATATTGGCAACTGGTGGTTATGGTACCACTATCCGTTTATGGGATTTTAAAACAGGATAATAAATTGGAAAATTAGTTGGTCAATCAAGTGTTGTCTGGTCTATATGTTTCTCTTTGGATGGCACTAAATTAGCATCCAGTAGTGAGGATAAGTTTATTAGATTATGGAACGTTAAGATAAGAAAACAAACATCGAAATTAGAAGGACATAATACATTTAGTTCTTTATGCTTCTCTCCTGATGGCTATACATTAGCATCTGGTGGTGATGATTACTCTATCTACTTATGGGATGTTAAGACAGGATAATAAAAAGCCAAATTAGTTGGTCATAAAAGTTATGTCTATTCAGTAATTTTTTCTAATAATGGTACTATTTTGGCTTCAGGTACTGATGATGCAACTATCCGTTTATGGGATGTTGAAATAGGATAATCAAAAACAAAATTAGATGGTCATGCTAGTTATGTGTATTCTGTATGCTTCTCTCCTGATGGGACTTTATTAGCATCTTGTAGTGAGGATAAGTCTGTTTGTTTATGGGATGTTAAAACAGGATAAAAGAAAGCCTAATTAAATGGTCATGATAATTCTATCATATCAGTATGCTTCTCTCCTAGTGGTACTACACTCGCATCTAGTAGTTATGATACCTCTATTCGTTTATGGGATGTTGAGACAGGAGAATAAATCGTCAAATTTGATGGTCATGCTAATTATGTGAATTCTGTATGCTTCTCTCATGATGGCACTACATTAGCATCTGGTGGTGAGGATTAATCTGTCTGTTTATGGGATGTTAAAACAGGATAATAGAAAGCCAAATTAGAAGGTCATTGTGATTATGTTAGATAAGTAAGCTTTTCTCCTGATGATGCTATATTAGCATCTGCTAGTGATGATAAGTCTATTCGTTTATGGGATGTAAAAACAGGAAAATAAATAGCAAAATTAGATGGTCATAGTGATTACGTAAGATCAGTAAGCTTCTCTTTTGATGGATTTACATTAGCATCTGGGAGTTGGGATAAATCTGTTCGTTTATGGGATGTTAAAACAAAGTAACAAAAAGCCATATTAGAAGGTCATACTAATTTTGTCTAATCAGTTTGCTTCTCTCCTGATAGTAATACAGTAGCATCAGGGAGTAATGATAATTCTATTCATTTATGGGATGTTCAGACAGCATAATTAAAAGCCTCCTTAGAAGGTCATACTAGAAATGTCTATTCAGTATGCTTCTCTCCGAATGGAACTAAATTAGCCTCTGGTAGTTGGGATAACTCTATCCGAATATGGGATATTTAAACAGTATATTAAACTGCCAATTCAAATCATCATAGTGATTACGTCCGATAAGTAGACTTTTCCACTGATGGAACTAAATTAGCATCTTGCATTCATGATAGTTCTATCTGTCCATAGGATTTTAATAGAGGAAATGAAATTGAGTTGACTGTTGGAAATTATAGAGATATTCCCACATAGTTTAAACAAAAATTTACTTAAAAAAATCTTCATCAAGAAAGTAGTTTAACTTTAAATATTATTTAGTTATCCTTAATGTTCCAATTCTTATTATATCCCAATATCCTTATTTATTAGCAAATGGAGCTTTAATTTTTTAAGGAGAATTTGTTACTTCTTGTAATGAAGATTTACAGATATTATTAAAAAAAAGAGGAAGTATGATTTATGAAAGCTTAATAGAATTAGAAAAAAAGTAGAATTGAATATTATCAACTACATTAAATATCAAATATCTCATTTATTTTTTCGAGTATTTTTTTTGATTATGAATTTAGAACTGAATCTAAGCATTGAGAATTGTTCAAAATGTATTTTTTCCATATTTTATTTTTAATAATACTCTCTTAAAAAATAATTAGTTGCATTTTATGGCATAATTATTTGAAGTGGCATATAAAAATAATTCTAATTTATAATTAGTTTATTTTAAAAATCTATAAATTTAGTATAAATTTCAATATTTGATAGGATTTAATCTTTAAAAATTATAGTTCGTAAGCAAAAGCAAAAAATAAATCAAATAAATAAATAAGTAAATAAATATAAGGAAAGAAAGTTTGTTAAAAAATGAAAAAATGTGAAAATAAATCATAATCAATAGGTAAATAAGCCCAAATAAATAGGTAATCAAAAATAAAAATAAAAATAAAATAGCATCTATATTTATTCTCTATTCAAATACTTGAATCTGTTAATATCATAAAAGTATTTTTTATGTCAAGAATGGTTATTAAGAAAATCAGATCTTCATATAAAATAATGCCTAAATTTCACTTTTATTCATGTATAAAAACTACTACTGCTAATACAGTGAAAATAAATGCATTTTATTACTATGAACCTAATAATGATAAAGAGGTTTAACTATGCTATATTTGGTACTATAAATATATCACCTCTTCGTTATGGGTTTTTAGCTCAGCAAGGGTATTAATTTTCTTTTAGGAATTGAATATTTCAATTTTATATTCTAATTTGAGTTATAAAGCTTAATTATGTTTAATCAGTGACAGTAAAAAATCTAAAAATATTTTTATTGGAAATTATTTTCTTCTTACTGATTTGAATAGTTTAAATTGTGAGACTTTCATGAATGTTACCCTATACCAGTTGAGTTATTATATTAAAATTATGAATTATTTATGGTTGTTATGTTTTGGTTTGTAGCTCTAACTGAGTAGAAAACATCTTTAAAAATTTGAATTCATTATTTGTTTCCAAAAAAAAACTATGGCCAATCTTTTTATATTTAGATAAGGAACTTTATTTTCTCATAAATTTTCATATTGTATTAGAAAAATACTACTTGTAAAATGATTTGGAACTTTTTTAATTTCTTAATCATGTATGAGTATGTTAAATGAAAAATTAAATACAAATGAAAATTGCATAACAATAAAAAAGAAAGCCAAAAAAAAAAAATTTATACAAAGATACGAATAATAAAAATTAATAGTGTCAAATATTCAAATAAAATTATTTTTTAGGTTAAATATCATTTCAATAATCAATTTCTTTTACTTTATGAAATCCTTTTTCCATAGTATTTCTATCTCTTTTCATTTCTATCCATGTACCAACTTTGATACCATTATTATATTCCCCTATATAAATTACTTAATTCCAATAATCAAACTCCTCATCCAAATCAATCCACTTCCCAACCTTAATTGCATTTTTTTCTAATTCATAGGATCCACCACCACTAATACATTAAAATTTTAATTATGCACTTTCTATAATATTTTTTACATTTATGAAAATGGATTGCTGGTGTTATGCCTATACATAATTTCCCATCGACCAAGTTTTTTACCATTTTAATATTCACCTTAATATAATATTTAAGAATCCTTAGAAAACCCTTCCTTTAGTTCAATCCACTTTCCTATCTTAATTTCACCATCTTCTTCATCATAAGATCCACCCCCACTGATACATTTACATTATTAAACTCTTTATATAAGGTTTTTTACATCCATTCAAAGTATCCATTATCATTCTAAAATAAAATATCCCATTTCCCAACTTTTTTACAGTTAACAAATACACCAAGATTCAGTATGTCCCTAAAATTAAGATATTTTAGAAATACCCTTGACTTTTATAAATTTCAGTGCCACTCAGATCATAATTTGAACTACTACTAAATATAATTTAAAATATTTAAATACATTAATTGACTCTAAACAAAAGTTTCCCATCTATCAATTTTTTTACCATCTTTATATTCTCCATGATAAGTTACTTATCTATCTTTATCGAATCCCTCATCTAATTCAATCCATTTTCCAATCTTAACACCATCACCTCCTTTGTCGTATAATCCTCCTCCACTAATAAATATTTTATTTATGCTTTAATACATTTATAAAAATGGATCATTCTCACTTCTTTTATGAAAAGTATCCCATACACCTATTTTTTTTCCATTTTCATATTCACCATGATAAGTAATTAATTTTGAAACCTTAAATTCGTTATCCAATTCAATCCACATTCCTATTTTAATGCATGTACCTCTTTCATCATATAATCCACCACCTCTAATAAATTTTTGATAAAATATATATTACATATATAGGAATGGATCGCTCTTGTATTTTCGATAAAAAGTATCCCATCTGCCAATTTTTTCCCCATTTTTATATTCTCCATGATAAGTTACTTATTTATCATTATCAAATCCATCATCCAATTCAATCCATTTTCCAATCTTAATACCATCATCACCTTTATTATATAATCCACCACCACTAAGAGATTTATGATTTAACATCTTATATAATATATTTTACATTTAGGAAAATGGATAATTCTGATGTCTTCTATGAAAAATATCCCATACTCCAACTTTTTTCCCTTTTTTATATTCACCATGATAAATTATTTATTTATCATTATCAAATCCATCATCCAATTCAATCCATTTTCCAATCTTCATACCATCACCTTCTTTGTCGTATAATCCGCCGCCACTGATACATTTACAAATTATAGACTTTAAAAATATTTCTTACATCTTCAAATTCTTTTTAGCATTTAAATAACCATCAACAGTTTTCAACCATATATCCCATCTCCCTATTTTTTTCCCATATTTATATTCTCCACTATATGTCACTTAAGAAATCAAATTAAAATTGTCACTAATATCTATCCATGTTCCAATTTTTCCGTTACATCCTTCTTCATATGATCCACCACCGCTAATACTCTACAAGAAATTTACATCAATTATAATTCCCCAACATTTCCATACAGAGTAACCTCTTTATACCAAATATCCCATCTGCCTACTCTTTTACCATTTTTATATTCGCCATTATA